CAGCCTGGCATACATGAATCTCTGTTTCAAAGCAGCAGCAGCAGCAACAACAAGAAAATTAAAACCCCCAAAACAAAACAGAAAGGTAAAGAGGAGTGTAAGAAGATTCCAGAAGCAGGGGTTCAAATCCCATCTTTGGGAATTTAAATTGGATTAAGTACTAGAGAAGACCAACTCGAATGTGAAAAGATCACAGGCATTTGAGACTACCTCAGTGCTCAAGGTCTGACAGCAGAACCTCAGCCCATGCAGGCTGAAGGGCAAAACCTGTCTGGGCCCCTAATTTGGGACTGCCTTGAGGCTGAGGGGAGCTGGGTAGCAGTGATTAATCATAAAGACTTATAATCCAAATTAATTTCTAAGCAGAAGTAAGTTGTCAGTGCTCACAGCAGGAAAGAAAAAAAATCCTTCAAAAAGCTGTAATACTTTGGTGAATTCGAAATATTTACATTCCCCAAACAGCCCTTTCTTCTGAGAAATGACTTTTCTTTTAGAACCATATGGCAGGAACATACTCTGCGTGTAATACAGTCCTTGTTCTTGGTGATTATGATGATGAAGCCACTGCGGTGGTAAAGATGCCACCTGACTGATTGCGAACATGCAGGAGCCACAGTCAGCAGTGACTGGGAGTTTATTATTTTTAACACTCTCCGAAGGCCCCAGAACACATGAAGTGAATACCATCGGGTGCTTTTGGCCAGAGTATAGCTTGGAAAAGAAAGAAGGAACAAGGAGGAGGAGGAGTGGGGGAAGAGAAGAAAATAATGTACAGAGGGAGTAGAATAGAACCTACTTTCTCTTTTGATAAAAGTCATTATGCTGTCAGCAGAAGCTGCTGGAAGCCTACTGGTTTTTAATGTGGAAATGGTCTGCATGGGGAGGGATGGCTATTTGTCATAGCTACCTCCCAGCATGGCCTCCTGCAGCTGGAGGTAGAAATGCCACTGTCAGAGGGAACAGGGGAAGGAGTGGCTGTGGGGCAGGGGCTGGGCTGCAAGAGGGGAGCAGTTACCCACAGTAATGGAGCCTACACTCTCCAGCCTCCAGATGGGATGAACAAGAGTTTGGTTTATAGTGGAGAAAGAAATATGAGAGGGCTCTTGCTAGAGGACTGGATGGTCTTGAGCCTACAGCAACCTGATTTGGGTATTTAGGAACCACCCTTTTTAGTTCATCCACTGGCTCATTGTTTGTCACCCTAGGCTAATGAAGCCACCTGTGTCCATAAGCCTCTCAATTTCCTTCCTTCATTCTTATATGTAAAGAGACATCAAGAAACACTAAACGTAGCTGGGTGTGATGCATATACCTGTAATCCTAGCACTTAGGAGGCTGAGGTAGGAGGATAGGGAGTTTGAGGTCAGCCTGTGTACTACACAGAAAAGCCCTGAAGAAACCAAGAGCTCGGGATGTAGCTCAGCGGTAGAACACTTGCCTACCATGCACAAAGCCTTGAGGCAGTCCCAATGACAGATAGACAGTATGTGAGCGTGGGTGCGTGCCACACACACACACACACACACACACACACACACACACACAAGAACTGGAGAAATCCTTTATCATGGAAGAAAGATACAAACAAAAACATGAAAAATAGATAATTTGGAGGAACAAAAACATGGGCTAGTCAAGGCACTTGCTGCAAAGTCTGAGAACCTGAATTTGATCCCAAGAACCATGTGGTGGAAGGAGAGAACTGACTCTGTGTTATCTCTGACCTCCACAAGGTGCCCCCCATATATAAATGTAAAAAGTTCAAAACATTAAAAAAACATATCTAATTAGTATCCACATAGATTTCTGAAGACACATTTGCAAAGCATGAAGAAGATACCATAAAAGCCTAATGATTAGGGAGAAAGAAAGCATTTAGATCATTGAAAGTGACAGTTACAAGTAATAGATGAAATTAAATTGATAACGTCTGCTTGTGATTGTTTGTGTGCTATTCTAAATCAGTAAGGATCAGAAAGGACAAAATTCTCTGGCAAGATAAGGGTCTGACTTTTTCTTCCTCATTTCATGTTGGATGTACTGTTTTAATAAAAGAACAAGTGGGCCCTCGTTGAGAAGAGTTCTGCGAGAAATCTGAAGGAGCAGACTCTCAGCAAGAGTCTGCTCTTGGCCTCAGACTGGATGCTGAGTTAGACTGTCCTTATTCAAGCATTACTGTAAGGTGGCATCAGATAGTAAATACCACACTGAATAACTGGAACTTAAGAAACTTGGGGGGATGCTGGGCATGGTAGTGCAGGCCTTTAATCCCAGCACTAGGGAGGCAGAAGCAGGCAGATCTCTGTGAGTTCAAGGCCAGCCTGGTCCACATAGTGAGTTCCAGGTCAGCTGGGGCTACAGGGAGACCCTGTCTCAAAAAGACTCCCTCACCCAAAAAAGAAAGCAGCTTGGGTGGACAACAAAGGGGAAGAAACTATATATAAAACAGAGACTCATTTTCCTGAGAGAGGCACAAAGCTTTCTATTAAGAGGGCACACTGAGAGCTAGACCAGGAATGAAGGCCACCATGTAGACATACGACTGAAAAGTGTCATCACCAAGCACCTATAAGACCTTGGGGCAACTCAGCCATCCTAAGAACAAAGCTTAGACCACACCGGCTTTCCTACTAGCACAGCCCATCCTGAACAGGAATGCCTTTGGGATTTGGAGGAGAAAAAAAAAATGCTACTTTAAGGCATTAATACTTTTTTTTTAAATTAATGTGGTGCTGTGTGGATGGCTTATCTACTAAAATCAGGTGGATCTCTGGAGCTTACTTGCTAGTTATCCAGTCTAGCTCAATGGGTGAACTCCAGGTCCCAGTGAGCGATTCTGTCTCAAAAAACAAGGTAGAGGGCAGTTGAGATGGCTTGGTAGGTAAAGGTGTTTGCTACCAAGTCTGGTGATCTGAGTTTGATCCCCGGACTCACACCGTGGAGGCAGAAGGAGAGAAGGGGACATCTAACCGTCACATGTGCTCTGTGCCATGAGCTTGCAAGGGCATGCATGAATGTATTCATGTGTGGATGCATATGTGTGCACACACTACACACATACACACACAAAATAAATAAATGTCAAAAATTTAAAAAGCAAAACAAGGTGGAGAGCATTACTGAGGAGTGACACCTGAAATAGCCCTCTGGCCCTCCCCACACGTGCATTCTCCCACAAAATTGTAAATCTAATTAAAAATTAATATATCAATTGCATATTAACATCACATCTTAATGAAACATAACCCTTTTGAATTCTTTTCAGCCTCTGGCTTTCTAGAAGGCAGTTGGACTCTTATTTCTGCTCCTGCACTCAGTATATTATGATTTGTTGTGCTTGGGGAGGGGAAAATTTGTAGGAATTCTATACCCAGCCAAACTGAAATGAAAAGGCAGGAATAAAATGTTTTCAAGCGTGCTGGAATGCTGAAATGTTGCTCCCTACACTCGCACTTTCTGCAAAGGTATTTTGAGACCACGTTTGCAGCAAAGCAAAGGACTCAACAAAGCCAGCAAGGTCTAGAACTCAGGAAACCCAGGAACTGACCCCAAGTCAGTGCAGAGAAAGCCAGGACACCCTGTGCCAGTTGAGTGCTTGATAACAGAGGTACTGGGGCAGCAGGATCTGTATAGAGCAAGTGATATTGTAGGGTGTATGGGGAAAATGGAAACAGATTCTAGAAATAGAACAGAATTATAAACTTCGGAAAAAGCAAATAACTATGTAAGAAAGAGCAGGTTGTGATCCCACTCTGCTGGGCTGTGAATATTTGTCCCATGGTCATAACCATGTAAACAACACCTACTGCGGTTGGTATTTAGTTTCACTCTATGGAAAATGAAACTATGTTATAGAACAGAATGTTTATCAGTGTTTAAAATGTGATGGTAGCCAGGGGTGGTGCACATGCCTGTAATCTTGGCCCTCGGCCGGCTGAAGCAGGAGGATTGCTGCAAGCTTGAGGCCAGTCTGGGCTACAGAGTGAGTTCCAGGCCAGCATGGGCTTCAGGGTGACACCTTGTCTCAAAACCAAAAAGAAAAGGAAAAAGCACTAGACATAGGAATAGAGGAGCACAAACTGAAGGGAAGACAGGGCCATCGGAACTCTTATGGAAACGGGAAACCATTTGATGGAACAGGAAATATCATGGTAGTTTGCAGCTCTTATTTACAAAGGTAGCTAAAAGTGGAGCTTCGATCAGTGCAATGATTGTATTGGGATGTTAGAGTGTGGTGGAGAGAAAGGGCAAAGTTTAGAAGTGACACTCTCATTCAATACAGCCGGAAGTCAACCTTGCAGTGAGCTAGTAAGTCAGGAATAGTGGCGGAAGCCTGATCGTTTGTGGTAGGGAGGCAGATATCCTATCAGTTGAGTATATGGAGGTGGGAAGGGTAAAGGCAGGAGATTGCTGTTTCTATTAACTGTATGTTTAAGAAATAGCTTTGTATGTTTCAGGCCGCCAACATACATACATGAGGTCCACCTAGTTTATCCTTGTCTTGTGTTTGTGATATTGACATGTGGGAGGCAGCAGTCAGACTGTGATCTGTTCCCTTTCAACCTACATATCAAATATGGATCAGAATGCTCCAGAAGAGCCTCTGGGGATCCTGGTATGCAGATGAGGACCCACTCTTTTTCAAATAACACTGTTCTTTCATATTGAATTCCATTTCTGTAGGAGGATTGACAAATGTTCTCTATTATCAACCACAACTTAATGCGCTTTCAGGGGAGGGTTCTGGGAGGGCAGAAATGGGATGGAAGATGATGTTCCTTCTTAAAGTAGCCTTGATGGTGGCGCTAACTCTCAAGAAGGGACTCTGAAAAGAAATCTTGATAAGTGACCTGCCACCCTCTTGGTGAATGTGCTAGAATGTTAGTCCAGATGCTAAAGAAAGATCAGTTTATCAAATCAAGCATGGGAAGCTAGAGTGAAGTGCTCGGTAATCAGAGGAGGGACAAGTAATAAAGAAGGCAGCTATAAAGAGACCTCATAAGCTTACCTGGCAGGGGAGATACCTTGATCACAAAGGTGGTTTTCTCAGGGTGAGACTTATTTATTGCATTCCGGATGTGCTGACCCCTGCAGTTTCCCCAAATGTGGGAAACTTGACTGCATAGTTTGTGGTAGTGGGGGGGGGCTGCTTTTGGGCTTTCCTCTTAAAAAAAGAAAAGAGACCTTCTTCAGGGGGCTGGGGAAATGAATTCCATCCCCAGCACCTACTTAAAAGCCCTGTGGGGTAGCGTGCATTTGTAATCTCAGCACTGGGGAGGTAGAGACATGTGGGTTCCCAGAGCTTACTGGCCGGCCAGCCAGCCTAGCTGTGAGTTCCAGGGCCTAGTAAAGAAACAGTGAATGTCACCATAGGATGACACCCAAGGTTGATCTCTGATCTACACACATACCTGCATACATGTGCACATACATTTGTATACATACGTGCATCCATACAGACATGAATACATACACATACAAAAAGACCTTATTTAATCAGAAGGGGCAGACCCTGTCAGGCTACTGATAACATTGACAATAATCAACCAGATATCCCGGATGCACACAGAAGAGCCAGCAGTGAGGAATGCCATCAAAGTTCTCCCGAGTCTCTACCTGGAGGAGATGCTTCTCATCACACCGGGGAGAGTGGAGACTCCATCCAAGCCAGATTTGCTCACTATGAAGTTCATTCAACAATGGTATCTTGAGGATCAACTTAAGAATCTGTGAAAGATGATAGATATTTCTTGGTGCCAATTGCATTTTTCTATGTGATAGACTGGAGGTTTCTTCCAGGAGTTGATGTCCACAACTCCTAAAGAAATGCAGTTGTGACAGTTGTCTCATCCAAATGTCTAAATGTGGGTTTCAGAGCTGGAGAATCAAGGTGGACAACCAAAATGGGTATTGGCCATGCTTTATGGGTATTTAGAGTCCCTCTGAGTCACACTGCTATATTTAGAGAACATCGAGCCTTACAGGTCCCTGAGAAGCAACTTGGAGAACTCATTTCTCTAGCTTCCTTGGTGTCTAGGAGGTAGGTGTGTGACCTCATTCTTGCTTATTAGGTTCACCTACTTAAGATTTTTGGTTTAGAAGTAAGTGACAAGAGGAAGAGGCTCTGAGTAGAATTTCTGTTCTGACGGAGGTTCTGCAGAGGCATCTGGCTGTCAGAGACAGAGACGAACCAGGGGACTAGCAGGGTCCATCAGTTGGAGAGTTCTACAGTATGGCTTTGGACACTGATCTAGAACTGTTCGACTCAAGCCCTAGCTCCCCCTGTAGTTCAGAGGACAAGGCACTCTGAACTCCTTTCCTACTTAATCAGACTCAGTCTCTGTTGCTTGCAGCCAGGAATCCTGACATGACCATGGTGAGTTGCTGGGCCTCTCTTTTAAATGAGAACATATTCATTCAACAAAAGTATAGTTAATGTATATGCTTAGGAACTTATTAATTTTTTTCTATATAGACTTCCTAGTCTGACTAAGGGTATATAAGAGAACTGGTCTCTTACAGATATGAATGAAGTTTCAACTCCAATTTTACAGCTAGCACTCCAAAGTTGGATAGATTGACATTTTATTTGGTTTTCAGAGTGTTAGCTAACTTTGACTCTGACTTGTAATGGCAGAAATGTCTGACAATATAATTATGATTGTGCCTATCAGCTATCTCATATTGTATAAAATGTAGATCTTTTGTTCTCCATTAAACTTTTAAGGAGTGGGTGGGCTTTTCTGCCTGCTTTTGGTTGTGGAAGATCTAAGGTGGTTACCTAAGAAAATGTTCCCATTGTATTATTTCAAGTGTTCTTGAATCAGGTTGTTCTTTAAGAATTTTAGAAGAAATTGAAATTCATTATGAAAGTGCTTATCTACTAATATCCACTCAATCCAAAATTTCTGGAAGGATTGTTTTGTAAGGGACAGGAGGGGTTCAGATTCAAGGACTGTAATGTGGCAGGATTTCTATTGTGGGAAGTCCAGCTGGACAGAAATACCAGAAAACACATTTTTGATCTAAGACCAGAATTCTAAAGGAATTATATGATCTAATACCCTCAACCAGAAAACTGGGTCTTTGATAGCCCCTGGCCCAAAGCAACTCTGCCTTCCTTAATCAGACCAACAGGAAATAGGCTTTTCGGGCAGAGTCTCCTCTAAAAAGGGAATCCCTCCCCAAGTCTCTGAATAGAAGATTATGGAAAAACAGGACATTTCCTTAGAGTGCAAGCACTGCAGTGTCTGCAGTGACTGGCCAAGAAATTTATCCCATGGTTAGCTAATGGAATCTTTATTATCTTTATGTAGCAGGGTGTATGATCTTTATTTCCATTTTTCTCAACACGTGTGTGTGTGTGTGTGTGTGTGTATGTGTATGTGTGTGTGAGAGAGATCATCCCTCTATTATGTTTGGAAGTGGTTACATAATCATTTAGTCATGGGTTACAGGACTACTAGGAACCACATCAGATATAATTTACAGAAATGTATAGTACTCGAGGATCCTGGGATTGGAGCTAGATACAATTGGATAACATTTTGGGGTTGTCTTCTTTTAACACACACACACACAGTATATGATGTGCATATGTGTGTGTTTATTTGTGTGTGAATGCAGGCATGTGCATTCCATGGCATGCCTGTGGAGGTCAGAGGACAATCTTGGGTGTGAATCTTGGTCTTCCATCTTATTTAATACAGGGTCTCTCTTTTGTTGTTTGCTGCTGTGCATGCCAGCTGCAAATGCCAGTCCAGCTGACCCATGAGCTTTCAAGCATTCTCCTGTCTCTGCATTCCATTTTGCAGTAGGAGCAACTGGGATTACTGATGTGTGCCACTGTGCCTGCGCCAGGTTTATTATTTTTTCAATGTATATTTTTGTGCATTTCATAAATACATATTAGTCATATTTAGATCTTTCCCCTATCTGCACCCCCCCAGCCTGCCCACAGGTTTCATATATTCTGTCATATATGTTAAGGCCTATAGAGTCAAGTTTGTGTCCCCAGATGTCTTTTGATGTGAGTTCATCCACTGGAGTCTGTTCAACCTCTCTAGCCTCACTCCTTAAAAAAGATTAACTGTCCCTCACCTAGCAGCAACCCCCTACCAACAGTTCCTCAGCTAAGGTTGGGGCTCCTCTTCATTTCCCCAGTACTATGCAGGATTTTTGTCTGATTGCATTAGGGAGAAAAATCAATCAATGGTCCAACCCCAGCTTTAAAGCCTAATAACCACAATAATGATTGGCACAGCAAACTATATCCGTGTAATAGTAACACTTTTATCTTGGGGGTAATCAACACCTATCTAATTGGATCTGAAGCTCTCTGAATAGGAGGGAACTCATGTGTGGCATGGTAAACATAGCCAAATACACATGGCTAGAGAGCCTAGAAAAAATCCTGCTCTGTCACATCCTTAGACAAACATAACTTCTCACTGTATGCTAAATATGTATCCTTATATTTACAGACAAGTATACCAATCACCAATCATCAAAAAGTTTCTTTTTGCAACAGATGGAGACTATTACAGATTCCACAACTGGCCACACACAGAGAATGTGCCTATGAGATGCCTAACCCTAAATGACATATCTACAATGGAACCTCTACACCTAAGGCTCATGGAACATAGTGGGACAAGGGGTAGAGAAAATACTAATGCATCTCTCAACTCTCACCAGTGAAGCTTCTTCATGCAACAGAGGATGATGAACACAGAGGCTACAATTGGCCAAAGTGTAGAGAATAATATTGTGTGTCCCTGGATAGGACTCCTACATTAAACCTTACCTACCCAGGACTCAGGGAGTATTTTGAAACAGGGGGCAGAAAAGTGTCAGAGCCAAGGGTAGTGCATGATCATAAGGAAACAGAGTTTTCCAGGTCTCTGGGAACTTGCTCATATGAACTTGCAGCAATGGTGATAGCATGCACAAGACCCATGTGAACTCAATGCAATGATTTTATGATGGTTCTGGGGATCTGAACTTGTCTTCATACTTGTGTGGTAAGTGTATTACCTACTGTGCCATCTCCTCAGCCATATATATATATATATTTGATGTATTTAGGATAGTTGTTTTTTAGTGGCTTTTAAAAACGATATGCATGAAGTGTGAACACATGTGTATGCACACACGTATGTGTGTACACACAAAATATTCAAGTGGTAGAGTGTGACAGGCAAGACTGCTTTGGTCTACAACTACTTGGTACATTTTTCAGTATCCTTCCTCTGGTAAGAGTGACTAATATTTTTCTTTAGAAAAGTATTTCCCACTGACTGAAACTTCATATTGCTTTGATGTGGATTTTAAGTGTAATTACTCATCTAACTTGGTCACAGAAAAGGGGCACATGACTCTGGCCCGAACAGCCAAGAGTAACCAATGCATTAGGTCACAGTGATTGACCCAAATTGGGTTAATCAGATTCCCAGCTGAGATTTTTCATCTTATGGAAAATATGGTGTCCTACTGGGACTGCTGTTTCGAGATGACGTGAGCCTACAGCTATCTGAGATCACACAGCAGGAGCGACCACACCTTGCTAGTATTTACTACACACTTACATGCTCCAGGTACTGTTTAAGTGCTGTGCATGCTGTGTCTCATTCAATATATGCAACACCTCCCTGGAGTAGGGCTTACATATGAAGACACTGATGCATGGAGAAGTTAGGTCCTCAATTGCTTACGCTCATGGTAAGCATTCACAGTCACACCATCTGACTTTGAAGGTGAAGGTTGTAACTGCTTTGACATATATTACTTAATCTGAGCAGAGAAAGGTCAAGTAGAGAGAAAGGGGACTGGGAGAAAGAGAAAGAACCCTGATGACATGATTCGAGGTAGCCAAGATAAACAGAATTAAAAGATGGAGATACACAAAGTGTCAAATCTAGTTGTGATGAGTTGGCTAAACTCTAGAACTGCAGGTACTGGAGTAATCTTTTTTCTTCAAGGTTTAGATGGTTTTGAATTGGGCCTTGGTCACATACAACTGTAGGAGTTTGAGCCTGGATGACTACATATATGTTACAGTCTATGTTACATTCTACAGCATTCTCATCTGTGATGTCCATTTCAGTAGCCATTAACCTTGTATGGCTACTGAACCATTAAAAGTGCATAATTTGATAAGAGAACTGA